TTAACTCGCCACGCTTCATCTCATGAGAATCTTGTTATTGGATACATTAGATTAAAACTGTTACAATCACACCGCAAATTACAGATAATATTAGTAGTCCTTGAGAACTATAAAAAGGCATTAAAAAAATGAGATACTTGCTCGAGCACTGCTTCAGTAGCAGGAGCATAGATATACACAAGCTTAACCAAGGCCTGCCCCTGCTACTTCCTTGCGAGGTGCATCAGCCTTGATTCTGGTTGGTCTAGGATCTGATCAATCAGCCCATACTCCAGGTGAAAAGAAGCGATCTAAATAACTCTCCAACCCATACTTCTAGGTTGCGTGAGAACTTAGGTCATTGATCATTGGTCTTGGGTTCGGAGATGCCAGCTAGGGTTAGGGTTTTGGGGAAATTAGGTCATTGGTCTCCACTTTGAGTGGGAGAGAGAGCGAGGGAGGGGGAGATGGGAGGATGTTTTTGGTAAATTATTTAAACTTGGTTGCTTTTTATAATTACGTTTGAAGTTTGGATCCTTAAAAAAAGGAAAAAAAATAAAAATAGATCACTTTTGCTAAATATTTAGCAAAATCGATCATTTTAGTACATTTAAATTAATTATTATATGCTTAAAATTAAAAATCATATTCGCTCATCTATACTTAAAAAAAGGATTCAAATTATAATACATTTAATTTAAAAATCATATCTACTACTCTATACTTAAAAAATAATCTAAATTTTAATTCATTTGATTTGCTTTACTGTTAATGATATAGTAAATTATACTACAGCATAAATAGTAACTCCAAACTAAGGAGCAGGTCAAGTATTGTTTATGCTACAGTAAAATATTGTAGCATAAACAGTACTTCAAAGGAAGATGACTATATTTAATTTACTGTTTATAATATAGTATTTAATGTAACATAAACAGTAATTCTTTGGATTCTCCTTTAATATAAAAGAGCAGATACGTAACCACATCTTCAGAGTAATAAACACATACAAGTACTACTTTGAAGTGATAAAATTAGAAACACACCCACAAGTATTAAATTATCCAAGGTTTAAAATGAAGAAATCTATTCATACCAATAAGTTGAGCATTCACCTTCCTAAGAAGTACATGCATCTATGCGTATGACCACAGATTTAACGCTTGCACCTAAGAAAATACAAGTGGTCTTATGGTGCTAACCACCTTAAAATTACCGAGTAATAAGAGATTCATACCAATCATTTAAAGGCTTTACTGTAAACCAATCTTGCTCATAAACTTCAAAAAATGCCACAAAAATTGCTCATTACAAGTTTTCTCTAACATTACAGTAGGTAAAATTTGTTCCGAGGAAGAAATAAAAGTGCTCCATAAAACATTTATACTCAGCGTCGAAGATGGTAAAGGCCAAGGCAACAATCAAGCAACTCTTTTCATGTGGCTTCAAAGATCTTGGACGGTCAAACCTGTGAAGTAACAAGTACTTAGTAAGTTTCATAGCCTCAAGTGTAGCCAAACCAAAACGTTCATGATCTATTGAGCATGTCTATTTACATGCTAGAGCAGCACAAAATATTATTAAAGATTGTTATACCAAATATTAATCACGGGTAACCTCGAAGCATCAATATGATTCAGATCATTTTTCATACTTCAAAAGGAAAGCGAACCAAGGAAATCTGTCAAACTAAGCAAAGATGAGTTATAGATCTTTCCAGGACTGTTACACAGTAGGAAACTGTGTACAAGATGTGTGATCTAGCGTAACAAGCTTGATGATAGGTGGGGAACCATCACTGTCAGTAACAAGCTTGATGGTAGGTGGGGAACCATCACCGCAACAAAAGCCTCTCGACACGATGGATGGGAAATATCAGACGATATGCACACATTTAGAATCCTAACTACATCCCAAACCCCAAATGCTTACAAATCCTAAAAATATGTATATATTGGCCGGTTAACATCATGTTGGTTATACTCTAAATACAGTTTTTGTCATACACTTATAGAGACAATCCATGCATGAAACAAAGTCCTCTTGCTTATCAATTGCAAACAGCAATTGCCAGTTAAAGACGGACATTTTGTCATTCAGATGGAAAAAGTGGGACAACACTGCTTCTCGCTTGCTCCCCTAAACATGCTACAGATCCTAAATAACAGGCTCTCCATCACAACAATTAATACTCATAGGTTAACAATTTTGAACATAACCAACACAGGCAACCTTGTATTCGATCTAATGCATAATGGTCCGACTGTAGGTTGAAAAAGATATCATTCAAGTGATGAATTTGACCAGCAGCCAAGAGAACTATCAGTACATGAATAGCATTGCAATTAACTAAATCATAAATTTTATTAGATAACCAAACATTGGTGCTTCACAGGGACTTGAGCCAACTACTTAAATCATTACAATGAGGATCGAAATAACTGATACGTTTGATGTGATATATTATATATCAGCATCCACATCTATTATATACAATGCAAACTCTTGGGAGCTTGCCATTTAGTTGCTTGTCTCATCCCAGTCTATTATGTTCACATGCATAATGGTCTGACTGTAGGTTGAAAAAGATATATCATTCAAGTGATGAAGTTGACCAGCTACCAAGAGAACTATCAGTACATGAACAACATTGCAACTAACTAAATTATAAATTTCATTTGATAATTAAACATTGGTGCTTCGCAGGGGCTTGAGCTAACTACTTAAATTATTTCAATGAAGATTGAAATAAGTGATACATTTGATGTGATATATTATATATCAGCATCCACATCTATTATAAACAATGCAAACTCTGGGGAGCCTACCATTTGGTTGCTTGTCTCATGCTGGACTCACTAACACATATATTCAAATAAAATTTAATTTATTTAAGAAAAGCATGATTTGCATTCTTCGCATTCCACGATCTTTTATATTAAAAATATATTCTATATCTGCAGAAGGACTTGAGCTAATTACTTAAATTACTTCAATGAAGGTTCAAATAAGTGACACATTTGATATACTATATTATATATCTGTATCCACATCTATCTATTATTAAATATATGCAAACTCTTGGAAGCTCGCCCTTTGGTTGTTTGTCTCATTCTTGACTCACTAACACATCTTCAAATACAGTTTGATTTATCCAATTTGAACTTAGTTCTGCATGCAGTTTAGATGCACTTCCATTTTGAAAAAGAAAAGTTTGCTCTGCACTACACAATTTTTTACATTAGAAAGATAGATTAAACGTATTAAATGTAGCAATACCCCTTACTTTGATATATTATTCCTATCTATGCTCAGGAAATAAAACATTAAAGCCCAAAACATGCACTAAGTGCGATGTTTCAAATATGCATAAATACGCAACTACTCTTTCTAATGAAACGTATCGTTCATGCAAAGCCTTACCAAAACATATCTTAAAGGATACCAAAGCATGCTAAGAAATAAAGTCTAAGAAGCATAGCAATGCCAGATAATCGATAGATATGGAGCTTGTAGTTTTTCAGGACAAATCCTTCCATTGATTTCAGATATATCTACTATAAAACTATATCTACAGTGTGTGAGAACTCCTCAATACTTTACACTTCTGTGGACATATCTTGAAAAGTGAAAATTGTCAAAATTGTTTTTCCATAAGAAACAAAAATTCACCTAAGTAATCAAACCCAATGTTGTTCAGGACTTATGACAACAGGCCAATGGAAAAGACGAACATTAACTTTTGAAATGAGTAGACCAATATCTTGGTAATGAGACACGAGCTATGGTGCTTGGGTACGAGTTTGGGTAGGGGACACGTCAAATTTGTAAAAAAGTAGGGCATTGGGGATAGCGACACTGCTATATAAATATTTATATAGACATATATTATATATTGAGATTAATAATATACATGAGAACAAGGACGAGAATTAAATTTCCTATAACATTCCATGTTTCTTTTATTATGTGGATTATAAATTGGAAAATCACTAGTTTTTGACCTAGACACCTTCAAAATCATAATTCGAAACCTGACCTATGTCCAACAGCTTTCAAGAAGTGGATGTGAAGTGTATAATATATGTACAAAAAATGTATGACAAATGTTTTAAATTAAAACATGTGTTGTATAATTGAGTACAGGCCTGAATAAATGTATGCATATATGCAACTAGTGTCCAAGGAGTTTGGGTACGGGTATGTATAGGGCCAGTACGCTTCAAATTAGAAGTACCCAGGTCACATAGGATGAGAGACCAGAAATATTACAAACACGACTAACACCTAAAATCCAAGTGCTTGTAGATTCAATCAATTTTCAACAGGTCTCACAACCACCAACAAGTCAACAACAATACATTATTCTTCGTGTCACCTCCAGCAACTCCTTGACGTCTGGAAAAGCCCCAGTGACCAATACCATACAATAATCTAGAAAAAATATAATTATCTTTGACATTCCATATTACTACAAATAAGGGGTATCTAACTAAACTATGAATATTAATTATGATTTAATTTTACACAAAAGGGCAAAACTTTTTCAATGATCTGTTTGTATCAACATACACTACATCTACGAAAATTAAACAAATAATTTTTCGCAAATTGATATTAATAATTCTTCAAAAATCCAAAGATAATCACCTGGAGGAAGCGATTGCTTGAGCTTGTCAGCCTTCTCGGCATCATGAACACACAAAGTGTAGAGATACTTTGAGCATCGGACCTTGAACTTGACCACATCTTTGCTCCTCTTGATCTTCACAGATCTCGCGTCCTTTCTCCTCGCAGTCAATAGAAAATCCTTGATCTCGTGAATCTGCTTCGGCTGCATTCAATCAAAATTTACAGTCATTCCATCAAAATCGAATCTTGATCGATCTTCATGGATCTAAATGAACTATGATTCGACCCTCAGAAGACAAAAATAAAACTTTTTAAGAGAGATTGAATGGAGAGAAACTATACCATGGTTACGGCTGATCGAGGAGAAGGAATGAGCTCTTCAGTTGGGCGGCTATGCAAAACCCTAGCTTCCGAGGGTTGAGGGATTTTATATGGCAATCTCTCTACCCTCGCTCATTGGTGTTACGAAAATGCCCTTCTCTAATTTTATGAAAAATATAGTACATTTCATAACTTATAAAATATGAACTCATCAAGTAAATAAAATAGAATAATAACTATGAATGTTTCTACGTTTTCTTTTTTCAAGAATAATTTTCTTTTCTAGATCAAATATTGTATTTTGTTTGCATGCCAACCTAGATGCACTTACACACTGATAAAAACATGGTTTTCACTTTAAATAAATCAAAACATATTGAACAGCGACTATTCCATGTTTGTAATTGTCTAAATTTTTAAATTTGAATTCAAAGAAATCTTTCTCTTAATTTTTTTCGAACACACAATAATTTGAATGTTCATAAATATTTATCAAATGCTAAAGTATAGTTGCTTGATTGATATTGTTTGCGTCGAAAATTGATGTATTCATTGCGGTATTCATTACAACTTCGGTCGTTACAATTGAAAAACAAAAAGATAATCTTTTTATAAGATCTTTACACAATGAAAACAAAAGTTAAAACTCTCGTCAAAACAAACGCAGAGATCGTTTATTGGTCTTCTGCTTGCGTGGGATCTTTGCCTGTGTCGGGGTTTTCCGTGGACCGCCTTCGATCTGGATCCGGTTGATGAAAAATTTGGCAGAGCTTCGTCTTCACCGAAGGAAGTTATTGATTTTGAAGCGCTGAGATCGACCAAGGCGAAATCAGGGGCTCCTTCCTCGAGATTAAGACCAAGCCTAATCTCAAGGCACGGACGGGGAACTGGCGTACGGAGCGCTCCTCGAACTCTCCTTCTTTATTGCCGAAGAACTCGCCAAGATATGTCAACCCTCGCCTGAAATTCGTGCGTCCTTTGACTCCAACAATCCGGGCAGCACCTCCTCTCTCTTGATACATCAAATTGTCCCCCTACAAGGAGGCCATAGGCTCTGTATTTGATAGGGCCTTTCGAACGCGGTTATTGGATGAGAACAAGTGATTGCTCTATCTTCAGTTAACAACAGCCTAACAACGTTGGGGATGATATCAAGTTCAGTTAGAAACCCTTGGCAACAGATTAAATCTTGCAAAAACAGCATCAAAACGTCAAAACGCGTTTCGGCGTTCCGCTACTGCGCTTGCGCGGGTCGGATCAGATCCGACCTGCGCTTGTGCGGGTCGGATCAATCCGACCTGCACTTGTGCGGGTCGGATTGATCCGTCCCGCGCTTGCGCGGGTCGGTTTATTCTGTCCTGCGCTCGCGCAGTTTTGCCGACTCATTCTTTTATGTTCCCTTTCTTCCGAGATTTTCTCTTTTCGCGTGTTTGGCCGATTTGTTGACTTGTATGCTTTGCCGCAAGACCGATCGTCGAACGCGCTTTAGTTAATATACGCGTGTTGATCGATGCGTGCGGACTAATTGGCGTGCGCGCGTTGACCGACGCGCACGAGCTGGTTGACGTGTACGAGATGATTTGAAGTACGCGCGTTGACCGGCACGCACGAGCTGATTTGACGTACGCGCGTTGACCGGCGACAACGAGCTGCTTAGGTGAGTCTTCTTGTCTCGCTAATTCATTGCTTCGAGTTTCGTGCGGGCTCTTATAGGCAATTTTAGACGCCTACAGATACCCCCTCCAAAGTGTTTCAGCCTCATTCTTTTATAGAGGAGCCTGAAACGCTTTGGATATGATGGATCCCCACTTTCAGTCAGTGTTAAGGGACCTACAGATGATTTCGATTCTTGACTTCTCCATATTTCAGCATATTCTGTATTTTATCGAATAGCTAAAAATTTTCCCGGTGCTGCGTTTATCGTATGACCGTTATTGAAGCCTTGAACTGGAACTTGTGAGTAGATTTTTGTTGATGTGTCATTGAGTTGACTTTTGGATCAATCGCAACGCGTTGACCGGCGTTGACCTAGGGCTACGCATCGATCCGTGTTGACCTTAGGGTTTCGTGTCGATCGGCGTTGACTCTCATCACAACGCGTTGACCGGCGCTGACCTAGGGCTACGCGTTGGCCGGCGTTGATCTTAGGGTTTCCCATTAACCTGAGGAGAACCAGTTTATACTCGTGTACTTCTAGGAGTTTCGGAAATCAGTTTAACCTCGTGTACCCGTCGGAGGTTGCCAGGTTATCCTTAAGAATTATTATATGTAATACTCTCCAGGAACTTCCTGTCAATATGGGAAACAGTTTAGACTCATGGTCGCCAATTGGAGTTTGGATTTCGAATATTCCGATAATAGGCGAAAATATCGCGAAATCACCCAAAATATAAAATTGGGTCCCGAATATTCCAAAATAGGTGAAAAATCACGAAATCACCCAAAATATAAAATTGGGTCTCGAATATTCTAAAAATAGACGAAAATATCTCGCAATTATTTGGGAGGCGGAATTGAACTCCGAAAATTCCAAATCTGAGTGAAGATGCCGCCAATTTATCCGGGAGATGAAATTGAACTCAGAACATTCCAATATGATCGAAAATGCCGTGAAATTGTCCGGGAGATGAAATTAAACTCCGAAAACTTCGAAAACGGACAAAATTAGGTGAAAATACAGCAAAACGGGCCCTGAACTGGGTCTGACCCGCGTTCACGCGGGTCGGGGTTGTGTAAAAAAGGTAAAAACCCCAGTTTCTCATCTTCTTCCTCTCTTTTGTTCGGTTCCAGCTCTTCTCCTCTACAAATTTCGGTTCCAGCTCCTTCCCCAAGCTTCATCTCTTCAAGAACTCCTCTACTACATAAACTCCTTTCCTTTAAGAACTTCCAAATCCCTCAACCTTGCTAAGGACAAAAGGCTCTTGAGAGGTTTGGAGCTTGGCCGAAATTTTCTTCTCTTCACAAACAAACTAGGGCTTTGGCAATTTTGAGATTTTCTTCTTCTTCAAACTCCAACCTTCTTGAAACTCGGGTAAGCTTCTCATCATGGCTTTGATTTCGGTTTTGATTTCTTGATTTTGAACCCATGGGTTTTGATGGTTGAAGCCCTAATTCTTGAAATTTGGGGAAGAGAACTGAAATTTGGTTGATCTTTGGGTAATGGCCGAATTTTGGCTTTGGTTGTGTTTATGGCTTGATGTTGAAGTCCCCAACTCTTTAATTTTAGGAGAAAACCGAAAATTTTGGATTGGGTTTGTTCATGGCCGAAATTCTTGAGCTTTATTCTTGAATTTGTATAAAGAACTGAAATTGATGGCTAAAACTCTTTGAAGCCGAATTTTTACTGTTCATGGCCAAAATTTTTGTTGATTGTGTTCATGACTTGATAACTGCAGTCTCTCAACCATTCAAGAAAACCGAATTTTGGAATTGGGGTTTTGTTGATGGCTGTTGTTTGAACCCTTGACTGTACATGGCCGAAAAATCTCACTGTTCATGGCTGAAAATTTGTGGCGATACTGATTTCTTGAGTTGGTGCTCTTGGTTGATGACTTGCACCTGAACTTAAGTATTGGCCGAGAATTTTTGTATGCTTCGAATTCACTCTTGTATATGGCCGAATCTTTGTACGATTGAACTCTTGCATATGCCTTGAACTCAAACTTTGAATTCGATCTTGTGTATGGCTCGAGCTTTGTATATGATTGAATTCGTGTATATGTGGATCCTTGTACATGATTGCACTCTTGTATGGTTCGAACTTGTACGTGATTGAACTCGATGTGACTGAATCCAAACTTGTATGTGGTCGAAATAACTTGAATCCCAACTTGTGTATGGCTCGAGAACTTCATATGCCTTGAATTTGTACATGTGATTGAACTCTTGCATATGGTTGAACTCTAGTATATAATTCAAATTCGAATTTGTATATAACTAAGCTCTTGTATCATTGAATTCATATATAACTGAACTCGTGCATGCCTTGAATCCAAACTTGTGTATGACTCAAGAACCTTATATGCTTTGAATTCGAGCTATTCTTGTATATGATTGAGCTTGTGAATCCACATGTTGACATGATCGAGGGAATCTCGTCTACAAGCATGGCACGACACTCGGGCTTCGGCTGGACTTGAGATTCAAACGCAACAAAGTCGGGTGGATCAAATGGAGGCCTTGGCTATCTTGGGGATGGCGAAGGGTGACTTGGAGCGTTCACGAGTTGTGATATCCGGAAAATTGGAGCTCTCGAAATAGAAGTTAGCCAAGATCAAACAAGAGGCTGCGAAAACATTATCCCTCACCGAGGAATCCTTCAAGGTTGCATTGCAGTGTGAGCTTGAGCGAACTTATACAGAGGAATTGACTAAACTTGAACAGCAAGCCTGTAGTCACAAACTTCATGTAGATTGATTGTAACTCTTGTACCTGCAAACTCAATTTTATTAATAGAAAATATGTGTTTTTCATTCATTATGTCTCATTTATTATGATGTCTTACTCCGTATGGAATAATCAACCATAATACTTGTGGGATTTTTATGATGTCTTACTCCGTATGGAATAATCAACCATAATACTTGTGGTATTTTTGACAAATCCCCAGCCTTCAACGGGTTTAATGAGCCTTTACCGACTACCGTTTGAGTCGGGCTAGTGTGCGGATTATTTTGGATCCGTTCCGCACATAACGTTGCGCTAAGAGAATTAATTCACTTAGACTTGGTGCTATGACTTTGAATACATATGCTTCATTTTTCTCGTGTGAGTAGACTAAACGGCAACGCGTGTTAGGCGTTGACTTACCCCTTCTTAGGCTTCGAGGTAAATTCCCCAGGCTTAGACCCTGGTGTCTTTTTCAATTGGTGAAAGACTAAACCGGCTGCCTTCAACGGGTTTGATGTGCCTTTACCGATTACTGTTTGAATCGGGCTAGCAAGTGAATTATTAAAACCCGTTTCACATGTAACGTTGCGCTAAGAGAGTTAATTCTCCTAGACTTGGCGCTATGATTTTGAATACATAGACTTCGCTATTCTTACGGGAATATAGCACCCGGCAACGCGTATTAGGCGTTGACTCATCCCTACTTAGGATTCGGGATAAACGTCCCCAGGCTCGTATTCTGGTGTCTTTTTCACTCGGTGAA